AATATATACAAAATAAATATTAATTGTAAAAAAAAATGTAATGGAGTAAAGGGAGTCGAAAATTGGTTTTATTAAGTAAGCTTCAACAAGTCAACAAGTTCAAAAAATCAGCAATCATTCAATATCAACATCCATATCAATAATTCAAATAACATTTCCAATATCATAATTTGCACAAAAGTTTCAACAGCAGCAAGCGCTGCTTCAATTAGAAAAAAAAATATTCAAATATGCACTTCATCGATATACATTTCAATATCAATAACATTTTCAATATCAACGTCAATAATATGCACAAAAAGTTTCAGCTCTGAGATTAGATAGCAAGCGCTGCTTGAAAGCGTTTGAACTTTCACAGATTTTTCACATCCGTCAAGTGCTGGGCAAACCAAGCGAACATAATGCAGATTTCCTTGCTACATATTGTATGTAGTGTAAGTAGTTAAAGAAGCCCAGAGTCTCAGACCAAGATTGGGCTGGTCGCCTGCCCAATTAGCAAACACAGCGCCTAATCAAGTGGCAAGTAACATTGACGAGAACCCGAGGCCTCGATGTCGAGCCGAGCCGAGCTGAGCTGAGCTGAGATGCACTCGCTATAAGATGCTATCAGATGGCCGACTTGAAGGCAAGGCAACATGCAAGGCAAGCTGCATGGAACCTCCACTTGCTATACAAAATAGTTAACGCCACCTGATGCCTGATGGCTGATGGCTGATGGCTGATGCCACCTCAAACACGCACACTTACCAAATTAGGTTAGTGGGTGAGACGTATAATCAACTTATGGGTCGCATTGTGTCTTGCATAATTAGATGGATGGCTGAATGGTGTCCGCCTTGACGCCCTGCGACCAGCCATTGGCCAAGTATGAGGACTTATTTAAGGACATGCCTCCTTATGCAATGAGAGACCGGCTGACTGGCTGGCTGGCTGCCTGGCTGACTGGCTGGCCTGTCTTTATGCTTAATGGCATTTGATTTTTCATTAACGGCTTGTGGTGCCGCTCGGTTGGGCTGCTTGGCTGGGCGCTCTGCGCGTGTTAATTCGATTTAATAACTCATCGTCAATAAGGTTAAGGGTGTGCATAGTATTCATATTAAAAATATATATTTTTCTTTACAAAAATATGTGCGCTCAACGTGAGCTTCATGTGCATTAATCTTCCACCGAGTGCCGAGTGTGCTGGTTTCATTTGTATATTACGCATACGCCGCGTGTTGCCTGAATGAATCAATCAAAATATGTTGATCATATGTACATAAATATATATTAATAAAAATATTAAATTTAAATAGTTTGGAAGAAAAAAACTTCTTCAAGTTGTAGAGATCAGCTAGCTCTTAATGTGTTCTGAATAATATTACGCATACGTCGTGTTATACTGCTGTGAAGCCATTAGGAATTATTGAAAATATATAATTTAGCCAAAGACATTCAATTTGAGAAGCTCAAGAATGTAAAGAATATAAATAATTAAAAAAAAAATTATCCAACTAATTTTTCTTCTCTCTCAAACTATATTACGGATACGCCATGTTTTGCTGGTATGAATCAATCAAAATATATTGAGATAATAATATAAAAGGAAAAAGGTAATAGACTGAAATACGACAAGTTGAACAAATATAAGCGAACTAATTTTTAGCCCTTCCAAATTATATTGCGTATACGTCGTTTCTTGTTTGTGTACATCAATGAATATATGTTTACTATATATTTGTTAAAAAGAAATGTTGTAAAAAATTATCTTAAATATATCAAATAAATTCATGTGATTATAAGTGACAAATAATAATAAATAATTGTTAGATTCTTTAAAACCAGATAAAGTATTCGCCGTGTGTGCGACAAGTGTGAGAGCAATCACAAGTTGTTGAATTCATATTTCAGTGAAGACAAGAAATTCAATTTTTAAAACAGACAATAAACGAAAACTAGTTTAACTGGCAAGAACTAACTAATTGCTTAGCATAAAACTGAATGCTCCTGGCTAATTGGACCAATCAAACTGCTGGCAGTTAATCAAACTGCCAAGAGCAGTTTGACCAGTCGCCAGTCTTCCAGTCGGCCAGTGCAGACAATTAAAATCATAAAACTCATCGCAAAAGCCGCCAAAGCGAACTAAAATACACAAAGACCAAAAAGTCAAGATACTGGCCAAGATAAACGGAACTAATGCGAGCCAAGCCAGTGGATGAGAAAGCTTGTGAAATTAAGAAAAACGCTCAGAATGCAGCCAGTGTCGAGTGCAACATCCGGTGCATAAATGAAAATAAATACCAAAAGCGGCTGGCAAACAAACTAGAAAACGAGAACTGTCAGCAGCAGCAGCAGGAGCAGGAGCAGCAGCAGCAGGAGCAGCAGCAGCAGCAGTAGTCAGAGTAGTAGTCAGAGTGGCAACAACTATAAACAGGAGCTGGAGCTGGACACAGTTGGAGCGACAAATGTTAGCCAAACGGATGTGTAGATTAGGCCAGAACAGTTGTCCATCAGCCGTCTAAACAATAGACCCAACAACAACAGCAACAACAACAACAACGGCAGCAACAACAATAACAAATCTCTGCAATATGTGTGCAAGAAAAGCAACTACAACAACAACAACATCAACTAGAACAACAACAACAACAACAAAAACAACATCCGGCCATGCATCGGCTGACCTCATCGACGACAGCGGCTACTGTGGCAGCAGCAGCAGTCGTTCGTCCTGGCTGGCGCAAGGACAACGTTTAAACTTGCGCATATTTAAACTTTTGATTAGCTGCTCTGCCCTAATGTGCTGCATTTATACAAATGCCTGGCAATTGTCCATGCTGGGCCAACTGGGCACCGGGGTCATGGCCGGCAGCATCAAGGGACGGGGCGAAACGCATCGCCTCGATGAGATTGGTGCCGGCTCCTTGACGCGCTCCTGGCTAACCCAGAGCAACAATCATGCCAACATCTCTGAATTGCTGGACAATTTGCTGCGTGGCTATGATAATAGCATTCGACCGGATTTCGGTGGTAAGTTTGCCAAATAAAATGTAGTAAAAGAGCAAAAGCGAGATAGCTAATAAATGTTTTTAAAATGTAAAAAGAGAGGGGGAATTCTAAACTGTGAAAACCCGGAAAATTGAGCATGTAATAGAATTGTCGAAAAATATTATTATTAATAAAAGCTGCAAAGATTAAATTTATATTACAAATACATAAATTTTTGTATATTATAAATGAGACGTATTATATTTCTAGATGCGAAAGCCTCTACGTCTTTGTATATCATTTTAAATAATAAATAAACGCTGAACTAAAGGCATTTCGATCTTAA